GCCGCTTGTATTCACAATCTCGTCCTTTGGGTCCTTACCCAGATCTCATGACAATAGGTGAGGGTGGGAACATAGATTGATCGGTAAATCCAGAGCTTTGCCCCCAGACTCAGCTCCCTCTTCACAGTCCGATACAGTGACCGTTTCACTGCCAACGCCGCACCGATCCGTCTATCGATCTCACGCTCCATCCGTCCCTCACTGGTGAACAAGACCCCGAGATACTCAAACTCCTCCACTTGAGACAAGGACTCTCCAGCGACCTGAAGAGGAGAGTCCACCTTTCTCCGGTGGAGAACCACGGCCTCAGACTTGGAGGTGCTGCTCCTCATCCCGGCCGTTTCACACTCAGCTGCAAACCACTCCACTGCTCGCCGAAAGTCCTGGTTTGATGAGGCCAACAGGACAACATCCTCTGCAAACAGCAGAGATAATATCCTGAGGTTCCCAAACCGGACACCCTCCAGTCCCTGGCTACACCTAGAAATTCTGTCCATAAATGTAATGAGTAGATCTAGTGATACAGAGCAGCCCTGGCCGAGACCAACATGCACTGGGAACAGCTTTGACTTACTGCTGGCAATGCAAACCAAGCTCCTGCTGCGGCCATACAGAGAACGGACAGTACTTAACAGAGGGCCCCGGCCCCCATACTCCCGGAGCACCCCCCACAGGGCACCACAAGGGACATGTCAAACGCCTTCTCCAGATCCACTAAACACATGTGGACTGGTTGAGCGAGCTTCCACGAACCCTCTAGCACCCGATGAAGGGTATAGAGATGGCGCAGTGTCCCACGACCGGGACAAAAACCGCATTGTTTCTCTCAGATCCGACGTTCGACTATCGGCCGGATGCTCCTCTCCAGCACCCTGGAGTAGACCTTACTGGGAGGCTGAGGAGTGGGATCCCTCTCTAATTGGAGCACAACCTCTGATCCCCCTTTTTAACGGGAGGGACCACCACCCTGGTCTGCCAACCCAGGGGTACTGTTCCCGACTGCCATGCAGTGCTGCAGAGACGTGTCAGCCAAGACAGAGATTTAAGGACGGATCTCATCCACCCCCGGAGGCCTGCCACCGAGAAGCTTTCTAACTACCTCTGTGACTTCAGCCTGGCTGATGGGCGAGTCCGCCTCTCAGTCCCCAACCTCTGCCTCCTCTTTAGAAGACGTGGCGATGGGATTGAGGAGATCCTCGAAGTACTCCTTCCACTGCCCGACAACATCCCTAATCTGAGCTAATCTGAGCTAACAGCTGCCTACAGCCTGCTGCCTTATTCTGGCTCCATTGTTGTCTGAAGTCTTTTATAACATGATTGGCATCTCCTCTGATTGGACCGCCTCTCAGTATCTCCTCGTTCTCTGAGTTATGCCTCGAAGCATGGCATGCTTCCTGCAGAAATATTTCATGATGAGACTGCAGCAGAGGAAGGAAAGGACAGAGAAGTGTGAGCGAGGTGGGCTTGGTTGGATGGTCTGACCTGCTGGCTGATTTTCCTACACAGAAACGTGCCTTGCCTCCACATGTCTGATGTGTCAGGGGAGCAGTTGGCAGGGTGGCAGCACATGTGGCACGCAGGCATGTGCTGAAGACTGAGGGAGCTGCAGCCTCTGCTGGGAGATGACCTACTTACCTGTGTGACCTGCTCTGCTTTAAATAAGAGCTGGCTGATGAAGACAACTGAGGACAGCAGAGGAAGATGATGATAAAAGTAGAATGGGAGGCAGATCTTTTAGTTCTCAGGCTCCTCTCCTGTG